GGACCCACCGGTGGGTCCTCGGGTTATAGGGGTTAAAGGCATGAATTCTCATTTTATCCTCAACAGACCTGTCAAGGATTTCTACTGTATGTGGTGAAAATACAAACAAAGTAGAGCCACATAGCTGCTTGACAGGACTTACTCCTTGACCTATTTAACGTTTTGCAACATTATAACCTCAAACTTCACTGTATCTTATTTGGATTTTTATCTGACAGACCAACACAAAGCAGTGAAAACATTTCCATTTCTCTCTTGGTTATGTCTCTAACAGCTTTTCACATCTAGAACCTGGAAGTTTTTGTTGTTTCTTTTGTGCAAATTAGCTGAAACTCAGTCAGATTGGATGAAGAGCATCCATAGCATGCAACTTTCTAGCCATGATACGAATAGCTCAATGGATTTTGGTATGGACTTTGACTGGACCCTTCAATATACTTTGAACTAAACCATTCAATTATAGCTCCTTCAGTATTTTTTGTATCCTTGTCCAGCTGGAAGTTGAACCCAGTTAAAGATTTGCATCCACATAGCCTTGTCGCCACCATGTTTAACTTTGGAAATTTTTTTTTTTTTTTTTTCAGGATGATGCACATTGTTACTTTTCAGCTGCATGTAGCAATTTGCACATAAACCAAAAAACACAAATGTTTACCAGATATTTTCTTCTGCATGTTTAAAGTGTCTCTAGTTGTGGCAAACTAGAGTCAGGACTTCTAATGGTCTCATTTGTCCCACTGTTGTATAAAAATAAAATATGTTTTAGGTTCAATAAATGGTTGTCCGGTCAACACATCATCCCACCCAGGCTGCAGACCTCTATCGCTCCTCCACAGCCTCCATGAACAATAAGCAGATGGACTCCATTTACTAATTACATGAGCTGAAAGCAGTGGGTTTGGTCTTTCACAGGTCAAAAGGCTGAGTACGTCTGCCACATCAAACTATTATTTATGAAAATTTCCTTAAATTCCAGATTACGTGTTTTACCGTTTTCACCAGGACTCCCCCAAAGAAGAGATCCTTTATCTCAATTGTTCAAAAAAATGAACAATTATGGACTACTTTGTCAAATTGACATCAAAATATCCCAATAAAATTCACTGAGTGTTGTTGCAAAATGACAAAATATGAAACGTTTTAAGGAATATCAATACCTTTGCAATGCTTTGGGTTTATTTTTGTACTACTTGGAGAACCAGATTTGGTGTAACCTGCTGATTAAATCTCTTGCTATAATATAGCAGCTTTTGATTCAGCTACAGGAGGTGGCCGATCTGAAAATAAAATGTGTTGGGTTTGAAAAAGTGGTTGCAGAAAGAGTGAGGATTCTGCAGAGATCTACTCGTTTTACGGTGCCGACATACATAGAGGCATGTTTAATAAGAGCTGGCCTCAATTTAATTAGAAAAGGAAACACACCAGTGTCTTAAAGCTGCTATGGACCTGAACGGTGATAAAGAGTTCCTGAACTACTTTAAGGATGGCTACAAAAGAATCAAGCTTCCTTTTTTTTATCCATGGATGAAAAAAGACTTTGAATAGGTAGCAGGTTACAATGTTCAGCCTTATTCACACTCAACCTGACATGCACAAAGCTTATAAGCATTAACTCTACATGTTGTAGGGATAAGAAAAGCTGGCTGAATGGCATGTGATATTTTTTTTGACATAACCTTTTTTTTCGACATAACCTGAGTTCAGACAGTAGAGGCTGTAGAGCTATAAGGCATCATCTTTGTGGTCAAAACTAATTTTAGAAACCATTGAGAAGAGACAGAAAGTTTCCTTCAGGCCGATGTTTTATGTTTGTGCACAAACGCGTAGATTAAGCAGCAGACACATTTGACCTTGCTCTCTCGGTTACATTCTTTTTTTTTTTTTTTGGCTGCAAGCTCTTAATGTAACTTTGATTAAAGGGGAAGAAAAAATACAGTAATTTCTCATCTCGCTGCTCATATCACCTGTTTTTGACCATTTTCCTACCCACGTTCCTCTTCCCCGCACAGCCTGTGGATCTGCACAATTTAATTCATTCTGAATGTAGTTTTTGTTTTGTTTGCTCCCGAGGGTTGAAATGTAGGACAAGTATTCTTTTGTCCCCAAGGATGCATGTAGGATATGGAGTAGGTGGTTATAAAAATCCTCCTGAATAATCTGTGTCTTGCTGCGAGGCATGATCAATGGTACCTCATTCTCACCTACTGCAGATATTGGATTCATTCCCTATGCACCATTACCCTTACAGACAAGGAACAGGAGGACAAAGATGTTTTTATTACTCGCCCAGGGGTGGATGGAGGGAATTGTGTTGCAGGTTCACATTGTCATTATCCTTTGTTCCTGCCCCGCCTTCATTCCAGGTGGTGAATCCAAAGAAGAAACTAAAGAAAAAGCGATATATCAACTCTGGCACGGTGAGGCTAATATCAAGGCTGCATTTCATTCCTTCACTCCTCTGCAGCTCCGGGTTCGCCATCAGGTTTCCACTAAACTCATTTCACAAAGCAGTCCAACGCCTCTTTTTAAAGATTTTTTTTTTCTTAGTTAAAGATAAATGTAAGCTTTCTCCTTGTCCCGTTAATGGAGTAATTATAAAATGTTTATAAATGAGACTTTTTTTTTTATTACTGCTCTTGCTCTTGGTGAATGCCGTGGCTGTAATTAAAATCTGTGAATAGTTATCCATCATGCTGATCATCCATCAGCCATGCTCATGTGCAGTGATTCTTATACTAATAGACTCCATGGATATTCTGTATGGATAAGTAATTTTGTGGATGGTTAACCTAATATATAGATTGGCAGATTTGATTTTTATTAAATTAATAAACCTGCTGTGTTCTTTTTTTGTGTCCCAGGTGTCATTATTATCATTCAATGTAGAGTCTGAGCACACATTCTTGGATTACATCAAAGGAGGGTGAGTTTAATAATCCTCATCTATGCATCTCATAACATTGTATTTGTGTTTTCTAACAGCTGCGTAAAAATATTAATTAAAATTAGATTTTTTTTTCAAATCGGAACATAAATCTTCCTTGTTTGTGTTTGAATACGTAAAGGGAAAGAAATTATATAATATTATATTATTAGGAGGCTCACTGGGTTTATATTAAGCAAAATTACATCACAGACAAATCTACTCATTTAGTATAAATCTACTACAAATATCAAATTGGATATCTATATTTTTAAAATGTATTGTTCTATTCAGTCGAGTTATTCATACAACACCGGTTCACGACAAACGTTACCTCACTACGCTTTAAGACAAATACCTCCCATTTTTATCTGAAAACAGATTATCCACTTTAGTCCAGATTAAGTAGAAATATATTTTTAAATAGACAGATTCAGGTCTCATTACATGCATTCCAATTCAGTCCTAAATATAAGCCAAAACAATCAAATTCAGTTAATTATTGAGAGCTCATGTCTCAAACTCGAGTCCCTCCAGAACTATAGTTTTCCTGTTGGTCGTTCAGACTCTTCATAATAATAATAGCCACAGAAACATAGTCTGAAGATAACAGTTGTGTGCTTTAATATTGTTTAAGTTTAAAAAAAGTCAAACCAAATCAGTTTTTATTTGTATAAAGCCAAAGCCAATTAGCATGTGAGAGGATGTTAAATATTATTTAATCTTCTGAAGTTTTGATCAAATTGTTGATGGCTAGTTTTACCTACCACAGTCGCCTGTTTGAGGACAATCATGGTCTTCATTATGGCTGAAAATGGAAATGAGTTTGACACCCCTGATTTAGAGGAATCATGAAATAAAAACGTGTTGGGGAAAAATACCACGACTAAGTCACCTTCATTTCAATCCTATGCCATGAAATCTTTGTAGCCTCATTGTTGCTTTTCTCCTGCAATCAATCCAAATATGCAGGACATATTTGCATATCTGTTTCTGGTGGGGTTCCGGTTTGTCCTGCATATTTGGAAAGATATCCTGGACTCCAGTCAAATATCATCAGTCCCGCCTGTCTCTAACCCCCGCTGCACCCTCCTTTCCCCATCCATCTCACCTTTACTACTTGGCAAGGTCTGTATCAGAAGAAAGAGATTTATTGAGAAATTATCCATTCTAGGAAGCTCCACTGATTGCATCAAGTCATTGTCTTTGCAGCAATCTATCATCCCAAACAAGAATCTGACAGATTTTTTTGAAGTGGGTTCTGTGGAAAGATGGATATCAGCCAGACACCTCCTTGAAAAAAGTTTAAGTTTGTCATCTGAACCGATATTTAATTCCCCTGAGTGTTTAAAAGTAACTGGAAGTCAGAGTAGGACCAAAACCCAAAGAGTAAATTGGCCATATTTGAACAATTCATATAAAAAATGTTATAAAATCTTGTAATGTTTCTGTGTAAACCACATGTTGCAAAATAAAGTGTGAGGATTAGCATAGTAACAGCTACAAAAGTAGAAAATTGCGAAAAGCAAAAATGTTACAGTGTCTAAGGTAAATGGGGTATTATCGATTTTTACAAGGCTTTTCAAGTTGTTACTGTGTCAGATCATCCTTTGTAATTGTTGTGTTACATAAGATTTGCAGCGGTGATAAAAAAGAAAGTACGTCCCTAAAATTAATGGGTTGTGGTTTGGCCATGTGTAGAGACTTCAGGGTGTGCTTAATATTTCACAGCTTTTCGTCTTGCGCCGTGTTCAGTAAATTATATGTTGGAGTCTGTGGGGACTGGTAGTGTGTGGTGGTTTGTATAACCCATATATTTGTGAGAGGTTGTACTTTTTTCTTTAATGATTCTGCTTAAAACATTATTGTAAAAGACTTAGCCTTCACTGTAAATGCCCATCAACCACATAACTAATGCAAAGCAATGGTTATCTTCGTTTTTAAGCTTTCGGATAAAGGAAATCCACTTTGGATTCATTAGTTCAAACCTCTGAGGAAAATGGTTGTGTTTACTGAAATGTAGGTTATTAAAAGTTGCAGTAGGGAGTTTTGAGAAAACAGTGGACTGAAACTTTGAACAAGCACACCCTACAGGTCCGTTCCCCCGGCTCTGATGCGCTACAGCTCTACATCCACAACATATTGGTATGTTAGTCTTAGGTTGTTTTTCCTAACATTAGCCCTGCTAGAGCACACCAGCAGTCTTCAGCTTGAATGGCAGTAAGCACTGTGCAGGGAAGGATATAAGCAGCGCATACATGAGCACTGTTTCTGCAGGTGGCTGTAGGACCACTGGCAGGACACAATGACACAATGACACAATGACACATTACATTAATATGTAAAAAAAACCATATTACAAATACATATTTTACCAATACGTAGAAATATATATTTTTATATATAGTAAAATAAATATATTTTATAAAGATTACCTACTACAGCTTTAATGTAGACTAAATACACTTGAACTTGATCTTACTCAAGGAAGCACCATGTTTGAAGATGTTCAATAAAATACATTCCTATTAGCACTGTTGTGATTTAACCTGGTAAACTTTAGAAAGCTATTATGTCACCATTTGAGCTTTATCAGATGGTGATTGGATCATTACACATTATAAAAGTTACATAAGTCTTTGCTACATATGTTAGGTTAATGTCAAATTACATATCAGCTACCAAGATGTTAGCTTTGTTAATATCAGCATCAAACCACTTCTGTGTTTCTCTCTGTATTAGACATAAACGCATGAGAAAAGATGAATATTTAATTTATTTAAGAATAAGTAACGCTCTTTGGAGGCTATGTATTGATCCCAGCAGCAATTATGTTCAATTATAAGCATGTATTATGCATTTCTGTGAACTCCTGTTACACACTACATCCCTCCTAGTTTATCGGCCCTTACGTTAACTTGTTCAAATAACCAAATTCATGCCTCGCAAAACAACTTACTCTCTGCTTGCTGCTGATTTGCAACAGCATAATAAGAGCTGTCACAGTCCCGATCATTGGAACCAGCATTACATTTTCAAAGAGCTCCCTGCTGCTGCACACACCCGCAATTCATCTGCACTGCTGTCTGCAGCTGAATTTGGGAACTTGTGAAAACATCATTATCACATAGTTCACAGTGTCTGTCAGCCAATGCTGTGGCGCTTATTGGTAAATGCTCCAAACAGTCAAATACAAATCATCAAATACTGCCTTTCACTTCAAAAGCACTGCTTTATTCGTGGTTTGAAATGAGTGCTGCCAAATCAAGTGGTTTGTATTGACTTATCTTTTAACTTTTAAAAGTCATTCTGATATATTCTGGTCTTCTCAGTTGTCTAGCATCATTAAGAACACACAGAAACAATGATTAGAAAAAAAAACGGGCTGCACACTTATAAAATACACACAAATGTGGTATTAAAATGCCAGTTGAGGGGTTGTCAATTATTCAGCTGGACCAGCAGCACAGTGAGACTTCCCGAGTGTTGTGAAGAATTTAGAGAGGACACTGCTGAGATTTATAAAATAAAAGAGAGCATAAAAGAAGAACATTTATATTTAATGCAGCAGCTTTAAGAGCATTACTTTAGCTCATCCTATTTCCCCATCCCCTGCCTGAGGCAGAACAGGCACCACACACACTTCCGTCATTGATCAAAACACGCACGCACACACACACACACACACACACACACACACACACATATATATATATATATATATATATATATATATATATATATATATATATATATATATATATATATATATATATGCGCTCTTATAACCTAAGAGCTTAATTAAAGACACATCACATATGGAAATGTTCCTCGGTGGATCAGCAGCTGCCCTGATTTTAGTTTTCTGCTGCTTTGCTGCTATTGGCTGAGTGTCCCAGATCCATATTGGTTTCTCTCCAGCAAACTCAAATAGACACAAACACTGCATACCCCCACATATAGTAAACCTCACTGTCACAAACACACTCTCAGATACTATAAGTTTAAACAAAGATCTATAAAAAGAATTTAATGCTTAATTTACTATTTTTGATTATTCATTTGCTTTAATATTCATGTTCTCAAACACCAGAATTACCATTTGTGCATATCTACAGTAACCTACATTTTGGGTCTGTTTACGGGATTGCAGCTACTTTAAATCCCTTCATTTAGACTTTGAATTGGTGTATTTGATATTCTTTGAGATGACATGTATGTTGAACGGTGATTAAATAAGCAAAGTAAATTGAATCAAGTAAGTAAGTAAAAGTTTATTTTTGTAGTACATTTTCACAGACAGTGGTCACAAAGTGCTTAACAAGAAGGGTAAATCCAACAAAATACACAGAAATTTACAATAAACATGTATATCATGTATATCTTTGAATAAAAATTACATTAGGAGGCTTTTAAAAGTATCCTCAGAATGCAAACTCTGTAGGAAAAATCTCCTTCTAGCTCTTATGGGCAGCCAATCTGATGTGATTAGGAGATTATTAGGGATTAAGGATTATATGACCCCTAACTCTAACCCTAATTGCATTCTGTAGAGCAACATGTTTAATATTTAATGATTAAAACAAACAAGCAAAATTTACCTCTCTCATGCTTTTCCATTAATTAGCTTTACCCAGATAAGGAATGCAGTCTTAGCTGTGGCGGTACAGCAAGAATCCTTCATTATTTTGTTGCAGGGATTTAAATATATTTAAATCTCCCCAGTTCCTTTGTGCATTTGCAGACAGTCTCTCCTGTTTGTGTATGGTTGCTACAGTATCTCCAGTGTTTGCTTTGATAAAACCCTCAACAGTCTGTCATTGTGCCGTAAGCTTTTCAAAAGGGGATCCCAGAGATAAAAGCTCTCTGAAAGATACCGTCAACAACATGACTGCTGCAGGGACGGGTCAGTGTTTCTTCTCTGTTTATTATAGGTTAAAATGGCTGCGATTTACAAGAGACTTAATCTTTTTTTGTCTCTCTGGTTTTGTCTTTGGAAG